ATTTGCGAACAGTAATCTAACCTAGGTCTACCTCTACCCCTCCTAACTCCTGCTTCTGCTTCTAATATGAGGTTATCATGTTAATATTAAATAATAAAATAAACAATATGATAATTATTTAATTAAATTATAATTAAACGGAAGTTGGTGTGTGTTATCATTTATGTTGTATTGTAATGTACGGATTATTTACTTTCCAAGAGTATTAATTAGCATCTGATGATATATTAACGTCAATAGCTGAACATTAGTAACAGAAGGTGAACCAATAATATAGAATAATAATAAGTTTTATCAGAGGTATGGTTTTTATTAAAAAATAAACACCTTTAGATTACATTTAACAATTCATTTTGGTAGTTGGCGTTAACGATTAAATTCCTGTAGTACTGCTTTTCGTTGGAAAAGGTCTGTTTATAAGAAATTCAGAAGAAAATTGTTTCTACACGATACTAATTACAACTAAAAATTGTTTCTAACGCTATACTTCTAATATTTATACAAACTAAAACACCACAAAACCTAAAAAAACACAAATAATCACAAAAACAAAAGCGTGTAACAGCAGAAAAAGACGGCAAACCACACTTTACGACACCAGATGTTACTTACCGGACACAATCAGTTGGAAACTTCTTGACCATTCTGCACAGAAAACCCTACAATTTGCTAATTTTTACCGTTTTGTTGCCAAACCACCAACAACTAAGCACTACTTACTTAAGTTGCAGATAAGCAGCGTACGGTGCAAACGAATTGGAAGTTGAGTAAGACGACAAAAAATTAGTGGATTGGATCCGATGCGGATCAGAATTGCCTGAAGATTGATCAGAAATAAATCAGGCTTTCTGATCCAGGTATGATGGAAAATCATCACGCCATAAATGATCAACATAGGATCCATTTGAAAAATCCATGTCGGATCTGTTTCTAAGATCCATGACGGATCCGTTTCTAAAATCCATGACGGATCCGTTTCAGAGATCCATACTGGACCGATTCAACAGATCCATCCCGATCTAGCCAAAAGATCCATACCGGACCCGTTTAAAGGACCAGGATTATTTTTTTCTTTTTATTAGGAGTTAGGAGGGGTAGAGGTAGACCTAGGTTAGGTTACTGTTCTCAAATGGTTAAGTATGTAGGTTGTTCTAGTTTTAGGGAAATGCGAAGTTTAGCTCAGGATAGGAAACAGTGGAGGTACGTGTCCAGCCTTAGAACTGACAACCTTATGATGATGATGATGATTAATTTGTTGTTAATTATCATTAATTAACAATAAATTTGTTCATTGTTTGACGAATAATACTGCATACAGAACAAATCAGGTAAAAAATAAAGTTCTTTATTATGATCCAGTTCAGAACATCGGACACAGTCTTGATTTAAAGATTGTACCGAAACCGTAATAGAATTTGTAGCATTGTAGATTGTGATAAGAAATTGGTCAGATGATTGGATTAAGGGATAGGATACTCTATTATGATCAATTTGTGATCAGATGGTTGGATCAACAGATAGAGTACTGTGCGCTGATCAATTTCTGATCGGATGACCAGGTTACGGAATAGAGTACTGTACTCTGATCAGAAACTGATTAGATCGGTGGATCAACGGATAGAGTAGAGTACTCTGATCAGAAACACATCAGATGGATGAATTAACGGATAGAGTACTGTACTCTGATCAGAAACTGATCAGATCGGTGGATCAACCGATAAAGTACTGTACTCTGATCAGAAACTGATCAGATGCCCGTATTACGGAAAATCTGATCCGCATCTGATCATAATCCGGATTCTCTGAACTAATTTCCAATCGGGAGGAGGAAGAGGAACCTTAAAACATTAATAATCTAAGTTAGCCAACCCCTTTATATAAAACCTTTAGGGGAATTGGAGGCATTGAAGCTCCAATTATTTGATTGCTTTGGATCATAAAGCTACGGTAGAAAGATAGACACAACACTCACAAAATGACGAACTGATCGTATTTCTGTTTATAATAAACATATATAAGTAATTTATATCCTAAAGTTTTCAATTGTTTCGTCCTCTCTCTCTGTTGTTTGCTTCCCGATTTCATTATTCACAAAATATATAAAACTGCAAAACGGTAGCGTTTGTTTTCAAAGCTGCGTACCCTTGTTGTCTTTGCGCCAAAGTAGTTTACTTTGCCTTGAGCTGTTTTCACTTTTTTATTGTTGCAGAACGCCAGAGCTAGCTACGATTTTAGTAGCAACGATCCATACCCTTATCCAAGATATACGGATGATTGGTTTAACAGGTCAGTAAACAAAAATTAATAAGTTTCTCGTGTTCTCTCATCAGCTGTATATAGTTTGAACTGTTTTAAATCATATAAAATCCTAACTGATATTATAAAAATAAAACATTAATTATAAGTATTAGGTTTCAACGAATTTATTAATTTTAACTGTTATTGTTTCGTTACACCATATCTTCATCAGGTGATCAAATTCAATAATTACCTCGAAAAACGGAAAGGGGTTAATTTAAATTTAGAAGAAGTTAATTTCTTTTGTTTGTGGCTATTTGTAGTGGTAAAAATTAATTCAAAACTTAATTAATTTTAATATTTTGAAAACCCACAAAAAATTTTCTAAAAATTCTCAAATTATATTATTCTTTCTATATATATTTTGGTTGGCCTGTACCCAATCATTTTTTCTGCGATCTGCTAATATTTCTCGCGAGCCCCACTATCAGAATCACTGATTCAGATTGTGGTTTTAAAATTTAGATTTATGTCAATAGAAGCGCATATTAGTGACTTCTTGCTAGTCATTTAATGTAACATTTTATTCATTTTGTTTATTGCTTTCTCATTATTTTAAACTATAGTTAACAGAGTTTCTAAATTTTCAAAGGCAATTTTTTCTTCCATGGGATACCCTGCCTATATTGAGTTTCAATTTCTTGAAAAAGAATAAAAAAGGGCGAGCGTTTATTAGTGTACAGTGTACACAATAAGAATGAGGCATATTTAGAATGTATATTATAAGTAGTAGTATTTTTAAAAAAAATACAACGTGTATTTATACAACACGCTACTGAAGTGAAACTTCTTCAAACACACAAACATACCGGGATAGGGATTAAGGAATCGGTTTAATGGTATTATTTGTACCCTATGGATTTAAATTTTACACTACACATGCCGGAGTTGCCTGTAACGAACGTTGCATTGCAGCGCGTTCACGACTCAAGCGATCCCCACTACGAACTCGACTACGCTGCCGAGTAGAGGGGGGAAATCCGTTGCATGATTTCGTTACATAGTAGTAGCAGTGTTTCTCTACTATATTATGCATGTATTATACATATAAACCTTCCTCTTGAATTACTCTATCTATTAAAAAAAACCGCATTAAAATCCGTTGCGTAGTTTTAAAGATGTAAGCATACATAGGGACAGACAGCGGGGAAAATGCGTTGCATGATTTCGTTACATAGCAGCTCGCATGAAACGAACTTACCCTACCGTGCGTAAACAAGTTTCACTTCAAAAATTGGCTTTTACTAAACACCAGAAAAATACAAAAACTTTATTTCGAGCGGACGAATGCGAAATATTGGTTTAGTTTTTTTAAAAACTTTTAGGCTTGCACCATACAAAACTGCATAGAAGAATTACAAAATAAAACAAACGCAAACGCATATGCAATGCATACAGTACGTGACGCGTGACGTTACACTTCTCGGTTTTATACCCTAGTAAATTTCCTTCCTACCATCTATAAAGATGTTTCACTTCAAAAAAGAGAATGTGGTAAGTATCAACTAATGCGTACCCACCCCTAATCACCATAAGTAATTTTTGAAAAACGAGCACGTGTTTCGCCTAGTTTGAGTGAAGGTATTATCAACAAGAGAGTCCTTTATTATCCTTCTTGAAGGTTAATTTCCGGTCAAAGGAGTTAAATTGATTTAAGGCTTTCCTAAGCGTTCAATTAAGCAACTCATAAGCCCCGATATTAAACAAATATCTCTGTCAAAGCTTATTTATTTCTATCAATATTTCAAATAATATAGTTGTTAAAATAAACCTTCGGTTTCAGAAACAAGGCATCTTAATAAATTCGTTGAAACACCTAGTTAGGTGTTACAAATTACAAAGTGTTTCAAAAGTGTGTTTATTTTTGATTTTTTTTTCAGCCACGGTACAAGGTGTGCAGGCGAGGTGGCAGCAGCTAGAGACAATGGAATATGTGGGGTGGGGGTGGCGTACGATTCAAAAATTGCAGGTAATCATATTGTTAAGAAAAAACAAGGTATCTGCCCCTTTTATAACAAAAAAAGTTAATTTTATTGTTGAAAATACCTTTTAAATATTTTAATTTTAATGTCTTATCGAAAATAATTGTAATTCAAAATCAGGTATTCTCAATGTTCTAAAAAATGCGAAGTTGGTTTCGGAAATTTGTAAAATATTTTATAAAATGAAAAACATTTATAATGCAAATTAAATCTATTTTCGGGCAATATACCAATTTACTCCCATATCATCATAAGGTCTTTAGTCCTAAGACTGATTAGATATGCATCTTCACTCTTTCCTATCCTGAGCTAATCTTCGTATTTTCCTAAAACAACCCACATTCTTAACTATTTGCGAACAGTAATCTAATCTAGATCTATCTCTACTGCTCCTAACTTTCTTCCTCTAATATGTCTCTGACTAGACGTTCGAATTATATAGTAACGGAGAAAGTGGTGCATTCGATTGGAATTTTATTAAGAAAGGCTCTGTCTCTGTCTGCAGCAATCGTTTAGAAAAATACTAACTTTACCCCTTATAATTTATCCTATATTGCTGTACTTACAATTTTAAAACTATTACAATCTGGAACTTTTCTTCTTTGATTCCTAGCACGATTGGCGACGTTGAAATTCTCACTACATCGTACAGCGCAAAATTTCAATGGGAATAAGTTTAAACTGGAATATTTGATATAATCAGCGAGCGGGATTATGACAAAATAAATAATATAATACTAAAGTAAAAATTCGATAATTTTCTAATTTGAAGCCTTCTTTCCCTTTTTATATGCATTGTGCATCGTACGTAAGCCACAACTTCCTAAATTCATGGTTTTATTCTTTTATTCTTACTTTTATATCTTAAAGAAATGTTTTATTAACATTCGGCACATCCATTGAAATTTGAAGTAATTTCGAATGATTTATTCCTTTGGTTGCTTCCAGAAAAGATGTCATGAGTTCAGCAGCTGTGGCGTGGCCCATAATTGCTGATCCATAATATCTGGTACAAACTTGATTCCAGAAACGTACAAAAACATCTATTAGTAATTTTTGAGAAACCTTATTTAATAATTTGTCGAATCTAATTTCAATTTTATCACATTGTTAGCAGAGATCTTTAAGTTCACGAATAAAATAAGCAGTTAATCCAAAAGAAATGGTATATCCAATTTTGGTAAGCTGAAGTATCATTTTTGATGCTATTTCCCAATTCGGAAACATTGTAGAAAATAATTCTACAGCTTGTTCTCTACTTCGCTATGAATTAAAATTTTTCACGATGTTAAAACACCACAGAATTTCAGCTTTAGTGACATTGTCTTTGATCACCGTTGCTTCTAGTCCTCGTGGTACATCATTAACAGTTCTAAAAATTGACTGGCTTTCTGAAGGCTTGCTTTTCTTATCATTAATGATGACATTTAATGCTTTATTAACAAGCATTTATATAAATGAATAATTCATATACCTACATAATCTGGATGGGATTTACAAATTTAAGTTAGATTCCTAACCGTTACTTTTAAATTATGTAGTTTTTTTCCAGGTTGGCGGTCAAATAATTGAACAACTTTATGTTTATTTAACCATCTTCAGACTGAAAAAAGTTTTGTTTTTTACTTATAGTTCTACAATTGTAATTGTATATAGAAAAACCCAAAAATGTATATGAGTGGTCAGAGACCATAAACCAGAAACTGCTTTAGCTAAACATTCAGAATCAGTACGCATAGTTAAACATGAAAGAATGTTTAAAATTAAGTTAATATCTGTGTACAAGCAGTAACACTTCAAAAGATATTGTAGCGAGCACGAGCGTGTTTGTGTGCGATCGGGCACACGTGTGCGTGATGGCTTATCGATTCGCCGACTAGTTGCGGGCGCCTTTCTTCATGTGCGCCGTATTTATAAATGTGTGTGTCGTACTTGCGTTCTGGGAAAGCAGTTAAACAGTTCAAAAAAAAACTAAACGATCCGGATGTTTTTAGAGGGTTCCAGAAAGGAAACAAAAGAGTATTTAAAGGAACAGATGATCGCCGAGAAGTAGTAGAAATAAATTGACCGTTGCAGAAGCGAATCGAGAAATTGACAGTTATAGCAATGAAATAAATAGCGCAGTGAATAGTGATATATCAACAGTAATGNATTGGCAGACCAATGCTTAGCTGTCCCAGTTTTGAACCAAACTTGACTAAATGTTATTATATCTAGCATTGGTATTTGAATATTGATTAAACTTTGAACCACTATTGTAAAACCCATACTTCGCTGCCCAGTATTGTACCAAACGAAACGTTAATAAACCTAGCCTTGGCACTTGACAATTAATCGAACTTTGGACCAATATTGGCAGACCAATGCTTAGCTGTCCCAGTTTTGGACCAAACTTGACTAAATGTTATGTTACCTAGCGTTGGCATTTGAAGCTTTGGACCAACATTGACAAGGCAGTGCTTGGTTTCCCACTCCTGGTCCAGGTTTGGGCCTGTCGTCAAGACTGACATTTTCCTACATAGGCTGTAACGAATTTGGACATATGACATCAAAAAATAAAGAGCAATTAAAATAATAGAATATTAGAATCGACGGACGAATTGAAAGAAAAAAGTGATGATCGACAACAACAAATTTGTTTTATTAATTGATACTGGTAGCTGTATTACACTCCAAAATGTACAGAATGAGCACGCCCAACAGGAACAGAACAGAACTAAAGAGAATGTTTCGAGAATATGAGAAAAAGGAAAATTGAAGAGATAAAAGACTTCAAACTGCAATACAGCTTGGAAAATCACAAAATCCGTTTGATAAAATCAGTTTGATATCGAAACGAAAGAATTCCAGCAACTAAGAGAGGAATCACTAAATAGTATAAAACAAAGTCTCTTTCCCGCTGTCTGTCCCTATGTATGCTTAAATCATTAAAACTACGCAACGGATTTAGATGTGGTTTTTTTAAACGGATAGAGTGATTCAAGAGGAAGGTTTATATGTATAATACATGCATAATATAGTAGGGAAACAGTGATAATTTTAGAGGTTTCTAATGTGATGTCGTAAATAAACGCATTTTTTGCGCTTACATTGCAAACGCTGGCTGAACCCTACGAGATAGATCAAAATAATGTACTACGATATTGTACATCTTAAAAGGGTCTACAAAAAAGTCCGTGATAGTATATGTCTATCTCTTAGGGATAACCCATAATAACCATTTTTATCCTTTACTTTGTATGAGAAATAATGACTTATTTACTAAGCGATTGTAAGCAATACAGCATTAATTCTTATCCAATTAAGTACCTTAAGTACATTGTGCATTTAATATAGAACAATATGGCCCTTTACAGCATGCAATTTAAATGAATATTTTCCAAGATATTACAGATTTAAAATGCAGGGACATAGCGGTTGCGGCGGTAGCGGCCGGGAGGCCAGATTGTATTGTTTAATGACATAAAAACTGTGAATGTTGTATATAAAGACATTCTGTAGTATATTTACTATGTTCAGGGGGTATCTTTTGAAGATTTCACCTTCTCGATAATAATCTAAACAAAACAAAAATATACATATTTAGTATCAGCATTGCACCCGTGCGAAGCTGGGGCGGGTCGCTAGTTACAGATAAAACGCAGAATTCTAAGAATGATAAAATATTGAGATCAAGTATATCATTCAGCATCACGACCAGGATTTCAAAGAGGCGAAGAATTACTATAGCAGTATAACGCTTAATAATTTAGCCCTAGTAAGCAGCTTCAAGTATCAGACAGGATTATTAAGCAGACAATAAGGAAAGATGGTAAAAAGATGTCCTATTTAACAGTCGAAAATAAAAAGATGGTTGAATTTTCGCCCAGGGAATAGTAGATGTTGAAAAATATAAACGAGCACTTCAAAATTACAAAGAGAATAAAATTGCTTTAATTAATGCAACCGTAGAACTTCAGACGACAATGCGAGACCTCAATGATTTACAACGGTGCAACAAAGCACTAGAGAGGAGGCTTGAGAAAGTGAAACTAGAACTGGATGATTCTGTGGGTATATTTAGTGCTATTAATATGGAAAATAAATACAATACAATAGGTAGTAAACGTGAGATGAAATTTGTCCGCAAATTGTCATTTGATCTAAGCAGGACCTTTTCTCGATTTACGTCATCATATTGTACAGAAATCGATGAAGCTTAATAACATACATGGGTGGGTATATGGAATGAGCCTAATAACTTCGTTTTATCGCCTAATTTCCCATACGTGTAACTTAGTTTGGATTCTATTGCATTTACGTTATATGGAATTTGCACTTAATTAGCAGCACTAATAGAACTCATTTCGTATTACCGACAATAAACTAACTTCACTAGAGTTAGGTAACTTCATTCTAACTCACAATGAACTCACGTCCCTACTGCACAATCGATTTTATTTATTCATCGAGGCATTGCATTAGAACTTTAAATAAAATACCAAAATTTTTAATAGCTTGTATACCTAGATACTAAATTGATTGCAAGCTAAAAGTTCAAAATGTAAAATTTGAATAAACAAACTTTTTATAAATATATCGAGTACACACCTGTAATTTCTCTACACTATCAAGTGAGTATATTGCCTGGATTCGTATCCAGGATTCGTTTTCAGCATGCAGATATCCACACAAGTGGACCTTGTTGAAAAATACGTAATCCTAAAATGCAGCATCGTGCTACAGATGGCGTTCACTGTGCCGTTTGTAGTATTTTCTGAAACGCACTGTTAAGACAGCAGGTAAAAGTTGGTCTGTGTTCTGTCGGAGCTGCCTGCGACGCGCTGATGAGATCCAAAAAGATCGAAATCGCGATCCGCGTCTGGCAGTTTCGACAGAATACA